TGATATAATAAATGTGAATATATTATATAGTGGGATTGGTTAGGAAGAAAAAAATTAGAAGGTATAATTAAAGTGTCCACTCTAAATAAAATTCCTAGCTCATGACATATGTTAATGAACTTATAATTTGTCAGAAATAATCTTTATTATTAGAGTTTTAATGGGTATTAGATATATTTTGTTATTATTAGATATATATGGGAGAATATATGTTTAAAACGTGTGAGAGATAGGAGAGAGAGTATGAGATAGAGAGAAAGAGATGTATCAGTTAATATGAGATAGGGAGAGAGTAAAAAAAATTTTGCATGAGGGCCGTTGAATCAATAATCGTCAAGCGGTCTGAGCCGCGAAAAGTTAAAAGACAAAAAAATGTAACTACTTTATTATATAGATTATAAGTATCAAATAAATTCATGAATCTATTATGATAACATTTTATCAATAGCTACAAACAAATAAATTTAAAGTGTAAATAAATGACTTGTAACGAAAGTCAATCAATAATTCAATCGTAAAATTAAAGTTCTGAAAAGAAATCTTCAAGATGTTAATGAATTGTAAATATTAATCTAAAATTCGTCATGACTTTTGAAATCTACAAGATTTCTATAACTTATAAAACTGATTCAAAATCTTCAAAACTTCCATAACATTTTTTTTAAATAAACTTACAGATTAAATAACAAATATTAAATTGTAATAAAATCTTTCACAATAAATTTATAATATTCGAAACTTACCGTCTTTAACTTACTTCGAAATTCTTTCAAAAAATAGAATCTTTTCTTGATTGGTTAGAGACTCGTGCTGATAATGTGTTGTAAAATAGACAAAATATTAAAAACATATAAGAGAGTAATACATACAATATATTTAAATTAGGTCTTTAGGAATTCAATATATCAATGTGTTGATATTCAAGATCACACTTTTCTTTTTTATTTCATTCACTGCCTTTTCATTATATACATCAACCGGAGAACAAATGTCTTTTATAGGCAAGATATTGAGGGCATTGAGGAACAAAGGATTGAATGGTCATTAAGAGAGATGATTCAAATGGACAATAAGAGGGATGATCATCCAATTTCTTTCTAAGTGTGACATTTACAACAAGAATGTTTTACTTGGTTTTGTAGGCATTTGGGCCAAATGATTTTTTGTTTATGCAAAGCTTAGTTTAGTTTAGTTTAGTTGAAAGAGAATGATACCCTAATTGTCAATTTTTAATTGGCGGACACTAGGATATATCAACCCAAACACGGCAAACAAATCGGGATATTGTTAGATCATTTGGCACCATCGACAAAAAAGATGGAGTAAAGAATAAATAAAACTTGACATAAATTTGAAATAGTAAAATGAAAATGTACACAATACTTTGATCACCATATAGATTTTAGGAATTAAAATGTCATATGATATTAGAGGTATCAAAATATGATATGACCCGTTTACACGACATGAAATTAGTGAATTTGTGTATTCCTAAACCTTCCGTTGAGTGAATAAGGGAACTCGACACGATACGGCTCGTTTATGTACTAGTTGTATACTATTCATATACGACACAAACTCGATATAATACGATTCGTTAGAACATGAATTAATAAACGAATCGGATATGAATAAAGTATTTTTTGACACAATCTTATTAAAACTTAACACGAACTTGCCTCATCCAACACAATTGACATATACCATTTAAGATACAAAGATCATGCCACTTGACTCCGTTTCCCTCGATCACTAAACAGTCTGAATCGTTTCTCTTCCCCTTTGAGACTAGACTGTATATATTACTGCTGTATGATTGTGTTTAAAAAACAATAGATAATAAAATAAACAAGAAAGGGTTAATGAAAATGACCCAAATAAAAAAAGTACCTCGGAGTCGGTGGAGTCCACGGCTTCGTCCATCGAAACAAATAATTTTTTTTATTTTTTGTGCTTGTCAATAACATAAGAAATAGAAAAGGAACATTCAACCAAACAACTTCTTAAAATTTTTACAGTAAATTTCACTGATAGCCCTTGAAAAATGGCCTAATTATAGGGACACTCTTTATGATTTTTGAAATATCACTGTCACCCCATATTAGATATTATCTTTAACAGAAATAACGAAAAATGTTAAATGACATTGGTACCCCTAATGGTTCATTTGTTATATATCAGAGGTTGAGGACACTCATAATAGGTTGGCTTTTTTGGAGAGCGGTGCTGTGTTGTCCCTTCCGCTGTTTTACCTCGAATGTACTTATTTAGTTTGCTTTTAGACATTGCATGGAATGTGAATGCTTTGCTGTGTTTTTCATTGCATGGAATGTGAATGCTTCGTTGTTTGGTTTTGCTCTTCGTTTCTATATGTCTGTCTCCCTGCCTCTATTTGTTTGGTTCTGCTCTTCGTTCAAATGCCCACAAGTTATTCAATCAAAGGCCCTTAACATACATTCTGAATCACACACACATCTGTTTTTCAGGCAAGTTCTGTATTTGTTTACCACCACAAACCATCATGGTGGTATACTCTAGCATTTGCTTGATTTGTGGCAAATTGACAATAGTCTCATTCACCATTTTACTTGATATTTTAAACCATGAGCTTGGTTTGCTAAGTTGTTGGGGCTTTGGACAATTTATTCACCTCTAGCCTACTATTAGAATTTAGACTTACATACAAGTAACATTTCGTACTTGACTCGAAAGTTTAAGTCTAAGCTCTGAGTGGTTTGTTCTAAACTTCGTAACTTCAGCGATTTTGTTTCCTTCATAGTCTGATATGGGATGCCTTTTTGCCCTTCACATGTAGTTTCCAACAGCTAGCTACCAACTTTTTATATTGTCAAACGCAATGCTTATTGTATTCCATGATCACTTGATTCTTTAGTGCTTGGTGAATTTTGGTTTAGCTTTGTGGCAAATTATTGTGTTCTGGTACTGTAAAATAGGTTGACAACTTGATTCTTTAGTGCTTGGTGATTTATTAGGTCAGTTCTTTCTCTCCCTCTCTCTTTCTCTTTGCCTCGCACCAAAATGGGTCTGATAATTTGTTAGGTTAATCTCTCCCTCTCTCTAGATATTTATTAGGTTAATCTTTAAAATATCTTTAACCCATACGCATTGGTTTTTCTGATAATTTTTGTTTAGTTTAGATAAAATTTGCAGTTGATTCACTCTCTCTCCCTCTCTCTAGATATTTGCAGTTGATTCACCCTTTGTTGCGTTAAGCCAATTTATGAGGCAAGTGGATTTTGCTGTGACAATTTTTGCCTCATGAGCCCCTGATTCATCCTTTGTGGATTTTGTTGTCCGATTTTTAGTTGTTAGGTGGAATTCTGTAGGTCTTAAAAAAGGATTGATTATATTACATAAATTAGAGTTTGGTACATAATAAGGTGTTGATATTCATCCCAACTTGAGCAATTGGATTAATATTGATTTATCTTTTCCTTTTCTTTTTGTCTAGTTTGTCTCCCGTGGATGTGACTAATTCATTGTCTTTCCTTTCTTCATGTTGATTTAGTCACACAAAGTTGTAGTTTCTTTGATAGCTTGATCACTTAGTGGGTGGATTGTAATTCCTTTTCATAATCAATGAATCTTATATTGTGAATTAGAAAGTCGTATTTTTGGAGATGACTTTGTTGAAATTATTTGAAAAATAGTAAGCCCAGATTGATTTAAACTTATCTGCAATTTAACTAATGCTTGAATGAAGTTAACTTATTTTAATGCACTCACATTTTTCTCATTGGTGATATTAGCAGACACCTACAGTAGTCATAAGACACCACTTGTGTAACTGTTATCTATAAACAGACAAAACTTTGATTTCGAACTAGAAGGAAGCAAAAATTCAAATTAGTGCGATCCAACGAATATCAAAATTAAATTTCGGGTACGCCTAATTAATTAAACAATTTTTTTCTAAAAAAATAGGGTTTGATCTAAATCACAACCACACCCAGCCCCTCCGGTCGAGTCGTAATGAGGCAGACGGGCAGCGCGTGTGTGGTCGAACTGAAAGCATATAGGTACTCGCTCTGCTTATAAAATTGTAATACCACTTGAACCCAATCTTATAAAGTGAACTTGACCTATATATGTTCATGTTAAATTTTTTCCTCAACCAATGTAGAATTAATGTCAAATTTCATATTGCACAACTTTTATTTTCACATTTCAAGAAAGTCGCTTTGAAACTTATTTTTTCAGTCATTTTTTACTTGATTTGAGTAAGTGAATATACTACATTATTCTTCTTACGGAGTAGAATATGAACCCACGAAATTTTACTCGAAACAATGAACAGGTCCCACTTTAATTTAAGTTCAAACTAGACCAAAAATTTAATTTTTACAAATAAAAAACTATTTTGGTCCAACATTAAATACTACTACTAATGCATTACGTGCACTGCAGGTAAAAATTTTTGTTAAAAAAATATTTTAAAAAATTTAATTATGTATCTAAATTAGATATTATCTCATTTGTCATATTTAAATTATTTTTATTCTTTTTATAACTATCAACCTTCAATGTAATTATTTCATTGTATCCACCAAGGAGCAATGATTATAAATTTTTTTTCCCAATTCTTTTTCTTCTTATCTCAATAAATTATCACCACATTATTTTAATTGTGGTGCAGAGAATATATATTGATTTTTTGGACATCGAAGATAATATTTGTATCAATGAATTTTTTCACGTGTATTAATATTAAAGTTTTGAAAAAAAATGTTTGTCTTTATAAATCATATTAATCGTAATATGATCACTTAAAAGTTTTACAAAGATAAAAAAATTTATATAATATGTCAGAGATTAGTTTGTTATCTAAATACAAATAAATATAATAATAATTTATATATTTAAATATAGGAGGACATGTTAACCGTTATAATTTTTATTAATAGTGTAAATATAAATATAGAAAGATTGATTGAGTTTTAATCTAAAAAAATTATAAAATTACTCTTTAAAATAAAATAGATATCACTTATCGAAGATGCTGGCAGTAGGGTCCACAAACGACTAGAGATTATTAGGGAATCAATGACAATAGTCTTAATTCAACAAACACATTCAACCCCACTAATTAACATTGCAAATTACACTTGATCACCCCCCACAACACAAAACAACAAAAACAAAAACAAAAAAAAAGTGCATGCTGATGAAAAAACGAAGCAAAAGCTAGTGAAAATCAAGCAACAATATCAAAGCGAATGTGCCTGAGAAGCACCGGAATCACAACATCCGGGGAGCTCAGTTGCGGCAGGTGACCGTCCGTGGACATGACCTCTACAATCGACTCGCAGCCGAAGTTCTGGTGGAGGTATTCGGCAACCACCACCGGCACCGCCAAGTCCTTGATGCTCTGAATTATGTGACAAGGCACCGTCACATGGCCCAGCAAATGCCTCATGTCGCTTCGAAATATTGTTTGCGCAACGCTCAACGCTATGTCAGGCCTCATGTTGAACAAGGTTCTGCTGAATTCTTGCACCGCCACAGATTCCATGTCGCCGCCAACAGCCAGCGGCGCAAATCCAGAGCACCACGCCTTGAAGTTCGATTGCATCGCCTCAAATAGTTGTTCTATATCTTCAAGTTCGAATCCTCCGTAGTAATCCACATCGTTCAGATACCTGAGAGAGAGAGAGAGAGAGAGAGAGAGAGAGAGATCAAAAGAAATTCATCCAACTCAGAACTTCAAGAATTGAAGCAAAACTATCGGTAATTCAGTGAGCAATTTGACACGAAACGGAAGCCTTGTGGATCAAAAAATCAAAAGAAACTCATCCGACTCTTGAACATTTTGAGTCAAATTTAAGAATCGAAAGACACAACAATCCGTCATTAAATAGTAATTCTACATAAATTAAGTTTTGTGGAGTGAAGAAATCAAACCTCGGAGAAGCAGAGATGGTGATGATTTTGGTGAACAGATCAGGACGAGTGATGGAAGCGACGACGCCAACCATGGCGGAAACGGAGTGGCCGACAAATATGCAAGACACAACCTGAAGCTCCTCAAGTATGGCGATCAGGTCGTAGGCAAAACCTTCAAGAGTTGCATATCTTTCAAAATCGAAATAGTCTGGATTGGTTGTTCCAGCACCCATATTATCATAAATTATGACTCTGTGATCATCAACAAGGTGAGGCACCAAGTGCTTCCACACAGACTGATCGGTGCCGAAACCATGGCCGAGGACAATGGTCTGATCGCCGGAGCCCAAGATCTTCACGTTGTGAGCTTCTTCTACTATTCCCATCTTCTTCTTCCTCTTCTTTGATGTGTTAGCTGTGAAAGGGTGGACTACCCTTTCACTATTTTATGTTGGCCTGATCGAAGAGAGAGAGAGAGAGAGAGAGGCAGACGGGGGATGACGACCACCACATGTTTTTTAATACTTCGTGATGAGATTCTCCAGTATTAGGAGAATCACACTTTCTACCCCTAAAAAATTTAGAAATTTAGAAATTTTGCTATTAACAATTAAAATTTTTACATTACATCCACAATATATTAAAATAATTATAATATAGCACTGCTGTTTGCTTTCATTGCTTATTTCACAAAAATTAATCAATGAAAAGTTTTTTTTCCGTGCAATCAAATCCAACGATCATAGTACTCATTACTAATAATCTGATTTTTTCTTTGGATGAATATATGCTCTGGTACTTTTTTTAAAAAAATTATTATTATTATTAATAAATTATCTATTATTAACGAGCAAAGAACCCATTTATGCACAATCAGAGAAATTAAAAAAAGAAGTATTGAAGAGATTTTTTTTTTTTTTTTTTTTATCATCCCTCAAAGATATTTTATGCGAAACTCAAATTTAAAACTTCAAAATATGAATTATTAACATCTAATAAAATTTTGACAGGCCACTTGTAAAATTTGCCAAAGCTTAAATAATCTTTTGGTTGCATCAGGCAATCAGGGGATGGAATCTTCGGGACAATCTTCCATATAATGGGCTATTATAAAAAGGGTTTGACTACGACAAAATAGAAACAAATAAAATAAAAATTTAGTAGTATATTACTCGTTGGCGGGGAGAGGCTCGGGTACCGATTCACACCTATAAAAATTGTATCATTTTTTTTTAAAATTGGTAAGTTTAGGTATAATAGTGATACTTTTATCTCTAAATGTGATAACATTACTTTCAAATGTTGTAAACTCACATCAAGAGATTATAAGTTCATCTGACATCTAGAAGTGATACTTCTACTTTTACTGCTTGTTACTTAATCTTTTATAGTTATATTTCTTAAAAATAAAAAAATCTTAAATAGTTATAACTTTATATCCAAATATAGTAATTTTATTATAAATGATTATAAACTCACCTTTAGGTGATAATTTTACTTTTATATGTTGTAATTTAATCTCAAATAATTGTATCTTCACATTTAAAAGTACTAGTTTTATTTTAAAAGATTGTAACATTTCTTCTAGAAGTTATAACCTCATATATAAAAGTGATATTTTTGCAATTACATGTTGTATTTTAATTATAAATGATTGTATCCTAATCTCTTAAAATAGTAATTTTACTTTAAAATGTGATAACTTTATCTTTAAAAATAGTAACATTACCTTTAAGGTGTTCAATTAATGTTAGAGGTGAAATTGATGAAATATTAATTTTGTGAAAATTAATGTNTTTTTTTTTTTTTTATCATCCCTCAAAGATATTTTATGCGAAACTCAAATTTAAAACTTCAAAATATGAATTATTAACATCTAATAAAATTTTGACAGGCCACTTGTAAAATTTGCCAAAGCTTAAATAATCTTTTGGTTGCATCAGGCAATCAGGGGATGGAATCTTCGGGACAATCTTCCATATAATGGGCTATTATAAAAAGGGTTTGACTACGACAAAATAGAAACAAATAAAATAAAAATTTAGTAGTATATTACTCGTTGGCGGGGAGAGGCTCGGGTACCGATCACACCTATAAAAATTGTATCATTTTTTTTTAAAATTGGTAATTTTAGGTATAATAGTGATAATTTTGTCTCTAAATGTGATAACATTACCTTCAAATGTTGTAAACTCACATCAAGAGATTATAAGTTCATCTCACATCTAGAAGTGATACTTCTACTTTTACTGTTTGTTACTTAATCTTAAATAGTTATATTTCTTAAAAAATAAANTAAGTTCATCTGACATCTAGAAGTGATACTTCTACTTTTACTGCTTGTTACTTAATCTTTTATAGTTATATTTCTTAAAAATAAAAAAATCTTAAATAGTTATAACTTTATATCCAAATATAGTAATTTTATTATAAATGATTATAAACTCACCTTTAGGTGATAATTTTACTTTTATATGTTGTAATTTAATCTCAAATAATTGTATCTTCACATTTAAAAGTACTAGTTTTATTTTAAAAGATTGTAACATTTCTTCTAGAAGTTATAACCTCATATATAAAAGTGATATTTTTGCAATTACATGTTGTATTTTAATTATAAATGATTGTATCCTAATCTCTTAAAATAGTAATTTTACTTTAAAATGTTATAACTTTATCTTTAAAAATAGTAACATTACCTTTAAGGTGTGACATCATTTCAATAGTCATGATCGATAATGATTATCTAGTATCGATTCCAATGCCTCTAATATATCCAAATTATTATTATTATTTTTTGTGATTCCACTAAATTAAGATTGATCATGACTATATGAGATTGATCTTAATGCATTTGATTCTCCAAAAATTCTACCAAACTTAAATTTCTGGTGGTTCCAATTAAATAGGATCGATTATGATTAGTCGAACCTTTTTTTTTGGGCTGAACTAGTCTCGATCCTATATTTAATTATATAAAAAAGACATATAATTTTATAAAATTATTTTTCAATTTTATCCATCTAACACTCAATTCATCAAAAATAACATTACATTGACCTTCAATTGTATTAAATTAACATTCAAAATTTAAAATTCATCAAATTAACATTAAATTGACATTCAACATTTGTTCTGTTTGAAATATAAATTGATGAAATTAAATATTACCAAAAAAAAAAAAAAATTAAATGTTCAATTAATGTTAGAGGTGAAATTGATGAAATATTAATTTTGTGAAAATTAATGTTAAATTGATAAAATTAAAGGTCAATTTATTATCAAATTGACGAAATTAAATTTTAAATTAGTAAACTCGAATCTTAATTTGGTTAAATTAAATATTAATTTGATGTTAATTTAATGAATTGAATATTAATTAAATAAAACTAAAGGTTAATTTAGTGTCAATTTTATAAAATAAAATTTTAAATTAATGAATTTAAATATAAATTAGATAAAAAATTCAAAATAAATATTAAATTAATAAAATTTAATATTAATTTGAGATGAAATTACCATCTTTTTGATGTAAACTTGCTAGTGGTTAAACTTTCAATTTTCAAATTAGATTTGTAGCAAAATAACTTATGATTGATCTTAGTACCCTTTAAATGTCATTCAAGCCGCCATTTTCATTTTGTATTCTAGTTTTACTTTTTCTTCATGACCCACCACCGTAGAATTCCCCCTCATTGGCGGAGTTACCTTTGGGAATGGGTGGTCAACCCCAACCCCCATTCCAAAGGTATATGTATACATACGTATATGTCAACCCCAAATAATTTTAAAAAATTATACATACGTATATGTATTTACATAAACTAAACATCCCTCATTTTTTTTTATGGCGTCCATTCTAACATTTATGTATTAAAAGGCCACGATAGAGTATTTCCAACCTTGATCTAAATATAAACTTAAATTTAAATTTAAATCAAAATAGTCCAAAAAATTTATTTATCCTTGGACTCAAATTTATATTAAATCAAGGCAAAACTCATTCTATACCCAAATTGAAGTAGATTCAAATTTTAAATTATAATTTTTTTAATTTATCCAAAACTAAAAGACTTCTTTGACGACTTTTTCTTTGCCTTTTTTTGCCTTTCTCTACTACACTAGTTCCATCGTCAACCACCACATAAACTTTCACAAATCATTTGAAAGTCTGTAGATAAGTTTTTCCTTTTTTATTTTCTATCTTTTTGATTTTTTATATTTTTCAAAATCCTAATCTCATCCACCTTTCATACTATATAAACTCTAAGCCTACCCGTCAAATTTTTCTTTGATTTTTTCGACTGAAACACTATCAGTTGTACAATTTCAAATTACCGATTCTTCCTAAAATTTTAAATCTTCACAATCTACAAATTTAGAAAATTCATCATTTTATTTCTTCAAATTTTTATTTTTTGTTAAAAACATATGTTTTTGTATTCTTTAGATCAGACCCATGTTAAAATAGTTATATTTTTTCTTTTTCTTTTTTGTTTATATGAATTTTTAAAAAATGATAAAGAATTAGAACAATCTTAGAATTTTGGGGGTGATTTTTTTATTTTCATGTAACGTTGTATACATTTTTTTTTTGAATTACCCATTTATGGAGAGATGAAAGTTTCATTTATTTTATCAAATATCATGATTTGAATGACAAAAAAAAAATAAGTTTTAGGATAATAAGAAATTTTTTTAAAATATTTGAGTAAATATTTGAATTTGCCCATTAGAGACAAATCAAATCCCATAGACGAGGGGATTGCTGTTTACATATCAGACAACTAAATCCCATAAATAGTGGGAATTGGTGAAGACTATTCTACTTACAAATCCTTGATTGTAGGGATTTAAACAATAAAATGAAATAAAAATGTAGTGAGTTTCTAAGACTCCCTTCAAGTTGGCGCGTGAATGTTTTAAACGCCCATCTTGCAACATCAGTAGATAAAAGGATTGCGACCTNTGCAGTCAACCATTTTTTTGCTAGGTGGAAGAGTGATAATGGTCCATGTTTTATTTTGTTCAAGGGCTTGAATTTTTTTGGCCATAGCATCACGCCAATGAGAATGTTTCATTGCTTAAGTGAAACTACANTGACAGCCTAGCTCGATGTGTTATGTTCACTCATGACAGTCCGGATTGGAGGCAATGTGCAAAGCAGCTTGGTTGTCACAATGTAAAACAACTGGATGCATATGTGGTATGCATAAATCAGTCAGAAAAAAAGTTAACCTAGTGATCTCATAACTAGCAGAAGCCATAGAATGATATTCGGCCTCTGTAGATGAACGTGATACAATTGATTGTTTATTAGTTTTCTAAGAAATAGGACTCTCTCCAAGGAATATACAATATTCAGTGGTGGAATGACGAGTCATGGAACAACTAGCCCAATCTGAATCACAATAAGCTCGAAGTTGAAGTGGGCTACTTGATGATAAGACAATACCTTGTCCCGGTGATGATTTCAAGTATCGTACAACTC